TTTCTTATTGTATTTTGGACTTTTTTAACTGACATTTTTTGTTTGGTAATAATTTCTTAATCACTAGACTAGATATCAGTGGAATAGTTCTTTATTGATCATGATACATAACTAGCTGATCATCCACAACTGATTTTCTACATAAGGCCTCAAAGATCCAGGAGGTATGTTGTCTAACACATGAACGCATTGACAAAGTCAAACTTTGCACTGATGACCATTTAGCCACCACTTTTCCATATAGCAAGACCAATGGAAAGGGAAGTGATAATGGCGAGATCTTCCATACAGTAATAACAGTGTGGTTAAAGCAGTTATTCGGGAACTTGATTTGGTCTCCTCAGCTTGCTCAGCTTGTCAGAGTTCAACTCCATATCATCGAGGAGAAATCCTTTATTATAAATGTGAGGAAGTTCTAGAAATGAGTATTTTCTTCCACTCCTAGTAAAACTGTGCCACCATACAAAAGAAAATTTAAGATTCTTCAAAGCAGATTATTATTCTTGTCTAGGTATTAAAACATACACATCTGAGTGGCTGTGGCTCTCAACAACTGCTTCTAGAATTATTTCTACATTGGGCTGTTAAACAGAATATTCTCCATTGTCTTTGCTACACACAGCACTCTGTGGAGACAGAGGCTATGGGTCTGAATATCTTCAGATGAGAAAATGAACTAGTATTTCCCATTTCCTGAACCCTTGCTCTAACAAGGGGGATATTATGCTCTTAGAATTAGTCTCCGACATGCAATGGGGAGGCTTATTTTCAGAAAGCTTTCTGACAACAGCTTATCAGTGTAAAACCAGCAAATGGTTAAATTGAAATTTTTTAGTGTATAAAAACTATACAAGGTATGATTAACTTTTTTCTCCCTTTAGGGATAGAAGAAAGAGGACAGCCTCAAAAACTCAGGCTGCTAGCTCACCTGAGGGGCTGATAGAGTCCTGTCTCAGCAGCTTCCAGCTCTGGGGAAAGCTCCGTTATGCAGATTACCCTAAACTTGTACAGGATCAAAATCAAAAGGAGATTTGCCTCTGCTCATTTTCCCTTGAAGAACTGGGGAACCTTGGGCATCCAGGATCTCTGCAGTCTGGGGAAATGTAGCTCTAGCTAGGTGTGAACTTCGGGATCCTCGGCACAGAACGAGGAGTTTTTAAGAATGGTTATGCTGTATCTAATTAGGCCATGATCATTACTCAGAGAAGTGAGTTTGAGGATGGGAGCAGCCTTGCCATTACTGAAGTTTTACCAGCCTGTGCCAAGTCATGTGTGACCTCCACGAAGGTATGTGGTGACAAAGCCTGGCCTTTCTCTTCCATATGGAAGGTCCCAGTCCCCTGCAGGGCACAGAGCCTCAGCTAGGACAGGCATGAATATATTCGTGCTGCTATTCTAAATCACAGCTTCCCAGTTTTAGGAGTATGTACATCAGATGTCACTAATTATTAGGCTGATTAGCTGTAGCTGAAGTAACAGGTTTAGTATACTGAATATCTGCTTGTATTTACAGTATCCTTTCTTTTGCCTGTTACACTATTGTTAAAACACTATTGAGTAAATATGAACGGTTGTCTTTGGATTCTTCCTAAACAGACAGAAATCAGTGCCCTTATAACCTGGCCAAGATAAAAACTGAAATGCCTTGGTAATTTAAGATAACAAGAATATTATAATATATGTAATATGATTCTTTTTTTTTTTTCCTGAGAAAACATTAGAGTTTTAGATCAAAGAGAAACAAATTATTTTATTTCGATGTTATTGCCTGTAAGATTTGTGCTATCATGATTAACTGCAATGCAATACTTTGGCGGCTGCCAAAGACAACTGAAAAAAAAATAGACAAAGAAAAAACAGGAGAGAGTAATCTTACATACACATAGTACCTGTATGATGGCAGATTAGAAAAAAAAAAAAACTCAAACAGCATTTACAGCTGTTTGGTTGAAGGCTGGTATGCATGTAGCTTAAGTCCTTAGATGCTAACCTGGGTTATTTCTTAATAGTTGTTTTGCTGGAGAGATATAATTTCTTATTCTCATCAGAATTTAAAACCTTTTTGGTAAAATGGTGTGGAGAAACAAAACAAAACAAAACAAAAAAATCATTGTAAGTAAAAAACAACCCCCAGAACAGCTTTTGAGCCTTAAAAAAGAAAACTAATCTAATCATGTCAAAAGAACTGTAAATGTGTGCTGAATTTCAGTCGATATGACTGATTACCTGTCACTTACTCAGCTATGATTTCTTCCTGCTATGCACTTTGGAACCATCTTTGTTTTAGAAACTCAGAGGCAGCATGTATTAGTTGTTAGCTCACCTCCAGCTTGGTTTCCTGAATGCTTTTGGGCTCAGTAATAAACCCTATCAGTCATTTCAACCTAAAAGCTTCAACAGCATCATTACTCATTTATTTTTATCATCCTCATCGATGCTGCTCAACCTGAAACTCCAAGGAAATTTCCCACTTTAAGTCACATAGACAGGAGACTACACCAACTCTATAAGAGAATGTCTGAATAATTATGTTAAACTACAGAAACACTGGACTTTCTTTAGTTTGGGATTATGGATTGAATTTTAAGTACAATTTAAGTGTGAAGTGTTGCATAAGTTAAGCATGTCAACTGGTACATGGCTTTTGGCTTTAAAAATAACTTTTTTTTTTTTCTTAAAATTCCATTTACGATGAAAAATCTTGACCAGGCACAACTACTAGCTTTCCTATATGTGAAAATATTTCGACATGCATATAATATACATGACTGAAATCAGCAGAAGCATAACTAGTTGCAGAGTCCAGTTTCGTAGTGCAGTCTGAGGGAAGTAAGGGCTTGCTCCTTTGGTACGTGCCGTATCACTCATCCTTTACAAAAAGCCAGCAGTAAACTTATAAAATACATTTAAAAGAGATTTATGCAAGTAGAAGAAATTTTTTTTGTAGGCAGAGAAGTCACATGAGACAATCTACAAAATCTGACAGAACTGTTTGATCAGCGTAACCAGCTGCTGCGTAAGTTTGTCTGAGCTCCTTTTTCTATCATTCCTAGAAGCTGCAGAGAACAAGGTTTTCAGGACCTCTGGGAGTAAAAGGCTATTACTTGGGCCTGTTTCAATATACCTCTATAGCAAATGGAGGTAGTAGTGTATACAGGCAAAATGGACAATAAAAAGAGAATAATGCTAAACTGTCACAGCAAGTGCACAGCAAAAAGTAATGTCTTCTAGAAACAGAAAAATAAATATCTACAAAACTCACTTCCTGTTACATTTCATGTGCAGAATGTATTGATCGTTTCAAATGTCCTCTGTACAAAGACTATTTTCTGAAGGGAAAAAAAAAAAAAAGGGTGGTTTTCATGCTACACATTGTATTCTGTTAAAGTTTTTCGCTGCGCTGGCAACAATATACATTATTTCTTTTCATTTATTTTATTCTGAAAGTATGTTGTCACAGTAGCACCATTAACAGCTTCCATATGCTGTGAAGATACCATTACAGGAGGACGATGGCAGTGTAATTACATACTACATCTTCAGAGATCTGACTCTGGCAGAGTTGAAGATTACTTCAGAGTTTCAAATTAATCTGAATGACCCCATCTTTATTGCTGTTGAATTTCTGGAAGTGAGGAAATGCCAGCTCATTGAACATAACTGATAAAAGCCTAAACCATCTGAAATGAGTAATGTGGTGTTTCGTTGACTTCATCTAAGTCTCATACACTTTACAGCCAGGTACAATATTTTATAGAGAAATGTTTGTTTTAATGAATCTGAGTGCTCTTCAGTTCACTAAGAACAGATCAACTAGGCAAAGAAAGAAAAATCCATTATCATATGTTCTGACATTTTACTTTCACCAATATTGTGGCTGTAAAGAGCAAACGCTGCAGCCATGATTTCTATCATCCAACGTGAGTGTCTGTAAGAGACCTGAGTATCAGGGCTAGAACTATGTACTGGAAAGGTAATGTGAGATTCAAGTGTAGATGGAGCCCCTTTGGACCCCTTTCCTTTCACCTCTTCTGAATAGCTTTATAGCAGAGACTCAGTAATACACGTATTTGTAAGTGACATTAGATGGTAGGAGGATTTGTAATTGTCTCCTGCATACCATGCTAAAATTTTATTCTTTACTCAGAGTCATTGAAGTACAATGAGGAAGTAGCTGAGGCTATGCTTGTCTTGATAATATTTTGCATCATAGTGCTCCTTTCCAGCTGTTAAAACAAGAAGAAAAAATAAAGCTTCCTTTAGTACATTCTTTTGTAAAAAGAAGAAGGAAATGTTCCTTTAGTATGTTCCCTTGGAAAAAGTAGTGAACTGATAATTGCACAACCTTTAGTAGCTCAGTCAATGAGTACTACAAAGCTACACATGGTAATGTCTAAATGTGGATGCTGACACAAGCAGACTTTACTTACAGGGATTTTCTCAAACAAGTAAAGCAAGTTTTGCCTTCAGATATACTTTGCACACTGACAGACAGAGGGAGAAATCAGACGAAATGCATTTTTTCAGAGGCAATCAAATAGACAACTGTATAGGTACAATAGCCCAAACTGCTACCTCACAAAATAGCAGGTTTGCTCCTAATCCAGAAGTGCCAATGTCATTTTTTTCCTCATCTGGAAATATTGTGGAGCTGAAAAAGCTGACACAGCATGCATTGTAGGGAGATATCAACAGGGAGCAGTGTCTGCTGTTTAATTCAGTGGCTGGATGTGAAAGTCATCTATCCTGCTGTTACATGATATACAACTTCTCAGAGCCTTATTTTGTGAAGTGCGACTGAACCACTACCAGGTGGAAATCTTGGACACATCCTCCTAATATGCCTCCCACTAGTCACAGATACCTGTCCTGCTATATTATTGAAAAAGAGGTGTAAATTTTCTCCCTTGCTCCTACGTGCTCACGTGTAGAGGAATAGAAAAGGTCATTGCCGATGTTTTACTGTGCCAAAGGGTCTGATCTGTGAGAGCTGTTGGAAGATGACTCAAGAAAATGAGATGATGGGGTAAGCAAATGCTAGCTTTGTTGAGAGCCAAGATGAAGCAAATCAAACATCCCTGGCCTGCTGAAATCAGCTCCAAAAGCTGCTGGCCGTTTTGACTGCAAAGGTTGCTGCATGAAGAAATGCAAGTGCTACCTGCCCACCGGAAATACTCGCCCTGGCAGCCAGTGTTCACTGGCAGCTGTGCAAAGTGACTACAGTGAGAGGAACGGCTGAGAAGAAAAGGCAGG